TTTCTATGAAGCCACAATTAGCTATAGGGAGGATTTGGATCTTCCTGATTTAGTGTAATAAGGTTTACTTGTTAAATTGTAACGAAATATTTTTTTTTATAACCTATAATTCATAATAATAAATAATAGGTAATAAACAGTAATAATCAATATAATCAAAATTATTCGAATGCTAATGCTAATGCTAATGCTAGTGCTAGATACAAACAACATAATGATAATAATTATGATGTGATAAACAGTTATTCAACTGGTAAATATGATACAATGATGGTCCTGAAGAAATTTCTACTCAATTTTCAAAATTTAATTAAAGAAAAACTTCAATGAAAAACCATTTGCCAGAGGTGATTCTATTAAACATTTACAAACTCTTACACGATCAAATTCAAATGCTATATTTGATAAAAACAGCGGTGATAGCAATGGTGTTGAAAGTAATTCTTTTACCAAGAAACCTGTTACAGCATTTGAAAAATTTCAAGCTTGGATGATAAATGAAGGTTTGAATTTATTTACATTGCTACTATTATTTTAGTACCCAAAAAGCGAATCCATCTAATTCAATAATTCAACATGATAAATAATTAATTAATAAAGGCAATAAAAAAATATTTGCAACAGTTTGGATCATGATTCATGGATTGATATTTTCAATGGCACTCATTCGTTATTATTTAGATGATAATTTAACAAAGGCTAGAAGCGAGCTTGGAATGACATATACAATAGCAAGATCATCAGTACTGGTTCTTCATGTGGATGCGGCATTCATTTTATTTCCAGTTTGTAGAAATTTAATTTCATTGGTTTGAGCAACACCATTAAACAATGTGATTTCATTTGATAAGAATATCCAGTTCCATAAGCTGATTGGATAGTCTTCACCATTGTGCACACAGTTTCACATTGGGTAAATTTTTATCGATTGGCAATTATTGTACATCAAAGTGGTGTAGTCAATTTTCTCAAATTAAATTTTACCTCAGGACCTGGGGTCATGGATATGTGATGTTTATATGTTTATTGATAATGGTGTCTACTTCAAGTAAAAAACCTAGAGCTCGAAACCTTAATACATTTTGGTTTCTTCATCATTTGTTCATACCCTTTTGTGGGTTTGAGCTTTTCATGGTGCGCTTTGTATGATCCAACCTGACGGGGCACCATTTTATGATTATATAGCAAGTTTTGGAAGTGCTGGATCGCATCTGGTGTGATTTACATTGATGAACGTGTATTATGTGAAGTACATCCCAAGCAAAAAAACGGATATTTCAAAAGTTATAATGCATTGTTGAAATTAAAATGAAAAAAAAAGGCATTATGACTAAAGCAGGCCAATATGTCTTTATATGTTGTCCAGAAATTTCAGTACGGGAATGGCATCCATTTACATTAAAATCAGCATCCGAAGAAGATTATGTTTCAATAAATGTTAGAATGTTAGAAGAAAATTGACATCTAAACTTGGTTGTGATTATGGGGAAGAAGCGAAACTACGTGGAAAAAACAAGGATTGTTTAAAAAGCATTTACAATTACAACAAGAGTTGCCCAAAATTATGGTTGATGGACCTTATAGCGGTGCTTCTGAAGACGTAATTTAAATTTGAGGTTTCTATTCTTATTGGTGCTGGTATTGGTGTTACACCTTTTGATAGAAAAGTATTTGGTATGAAAATATTTTTTTAAATTTTGAAATAAGTTTTTTTTTATCAATATAAATTAATCAATCAATCAATGATAGTATCGTATCCCTTACTTAACAAAATCTACGCACCTTTGTAAAGTTTATTTTTTCTGGGTTAGTCATGATTATGCAGTATGTAACATAATATAACATATAAATTATTTTAATTTATAATGAGAAAATAATAACTAATATTCACTCTTCTCTTCATCTGCCCACCCACTCATTTACCCACAAACCTACTCATTTGCTAGTCGTTTGAATGGTTCCAATCACTATTAATGGCAATAGAAGAACAAGATATTGATCAATTTATAGAGATACATACATATCTTACTGTTCCACTACGTAAATCAGAAATTGCAATACATTTGCTAATGATGATGGAAATCTTAAGGACACCATCACCGGTCTATAATTACCAACTCATTTTTGCAGGCCAAATTGGGATAAGATAATTTTTAAATATGAGATCTGAAACTGATGTTGGTGTGTTTTTTTTGTGACCAAAAGCACTTGATAAAACTTTACATGACAAACTTAATTTATGGAATGACGTATCTGATAGCAGTACAAGATTTTTTTTTTTTTTTTTAAAAAAAAATTTATTATATTTAATTATCATATAATGGATTATATAAATTATATAAAATGTTTGTATTTATAATATAATGTACAATATATACATTTATGTACTAATAATTTCAAAAAAATTTATAAAATCAGCCCATCAAATTTTTTTTACCTCCAACCACCAGATGGATCATAATCCCAGCCATATGCTTCGGTTACTGTTTCAACTCCCCGTCTTGTTTCAGTTGTCCATCTTGATTCAGCATTTTCCTTCCACTTTATAACTTCATATGTTGTTGTATGGGATTCAATTGTTGCATTGGAATTATCAAGTTTGTCAGCAAATACTTTTGCAAGTGAATATATTTTCTTAGAAGATCTAATTAATGGAAACCTACAAATTTCTATCACATAATTATCAATGTTGTTGTAATCCCATTGACCCTCCATAAATTCTGAATCAATTGCTGATCCATTAAGAATCCAACAAATTTCAAGATCATCTAAATCTTCCAAAAGTGTGAAATGAAATATTTTTACAAAATCTCTTATAATTTCACCTGATAATGTAGCAAGTTCAATTTGTTTTCGTTGATCTATAATTTTTCTATATTGACTTATATGTTGATCAAGCAATTGTTTATTAAATTTAATAAATCCATGTTCTTTATTGTTATTATTATCATTGTATCCTACTGTATACAAAAGATCAAAAACTTCTTCACGTATTTTTTTTAATGATGATGATGATGATGAGATATGGTCAAGAAAGGTGGTGGAAGATGGATTATTATTATTTCGATTTTTAACTAATCTGGTTGCTTTATCATGCAACTTGCTTCTCCATTCATATGGATCAGATTCAAATGAATAATCATATAATTTGTTTGCCAATTCATATAAATCATATTCAAGTCCCCTCAAGTTTTGAGGCTTGTATTGATAAGTATCACTTCCAAAATCTTTCAATAATTCAATCAACTTGTCAAAAACTGCTCTTTGCAATAAAGCCTTAACCAATGGTTTGTTCCTTTGTATTTCTTTGGCTCCAGTTACATAATTATATTTTATTAAAAGATTATCTATATTGTTATAATCAAGCTCTGCAATTGTAGTTCTTAAATTTGTAATATAACTCTGAATTTTATCTTGCAATTCAGAAAGATCTTGTGAAAACTGAATTGACTTCTGATTTTTAAATATATATGATGTTTCTGTTGATGGCAATGTTGTTGATGGTTTTAGTGATGATGTTGTTTTTGTTGATGGTGATGTTGTTGATATTGTTGATGGATTTGATGATGATGATGATGAGATTGTTGATAATAACTTCTTTAAATCATTTATATTCTTATCTCTATCTTTAATTTTTTGATTTAATAATGTTACTCTTTTTTTATTATTTACAACATTACGATCATGTTGAAGTTGTAATTCTGAATTATGTTTTTTTAATCTGTTCAACTGACTGACATAATGATTATTTTGTTTTTCATATAATCCTTCATTTATAGCTATTTGTGACAGTAGCTTTTCTTTTGAGTTATTATATTCTTGAACTAAATCATTATATTTAGCTACTAGCGTTGAATAAAGATTTTGATATTCAATTGTTTCTTTTCTTAATTTATCATTTGCAGCATCTTTTTCTGACATTTTTGAATTTAGATCATTATTGTTATTTGTTAGACTGATATTATTAAGCTTAACTATTGCTATTGATTCCTTAAATTCTGCAATTGTTTTATCCTTCTCTTTAATTAAATCATTATATTCATCTTTAATTTGCAAAATTTGTTTTGATAAATTTTCTTTTTCTTCATTAAAAGTCAAAAACGTTTTACCATGATCATAAATTTTTGCAACATCATCTAAAAAACTTTCCAAAAATTCTCTGCTAAGTTCTTCGTTATTATTGGTGCTACTATTGCTGCTATTGTTGTTAAAGACACTATTATTAGTGTTAGTCTTATTACCACTATTATCACTGTTACTGTTATTATTACTATTATTGCTGCTACTATTATTATTTATGATATTTTCTGGATCATCTACATCAATTAAAGCTTCTAAAAATATATTATTTTGGTTCTGTTCATTCTGATTCTCATTCTGTTGGTCCTGTTCGTTTTGTTGATTTTGTTGTTGATTTAGTTGATTTTTTTTTTTTCGGCCCATTACATACAATTAAAGTTGGGGAGTAAGTAATGTTACGCATAATCAAGCAAAATTAATTAATTACCTTGGATCTGTTTAAACCAGTACAACGTCAATTGATATTTTTTATTTTTTTTTGAATGGGAATTTTGATACAAAAAAAGGTTTTTGATGTTTCACGAAAATGGTTGCGTTGTATAACATTGATCATTGATAATTGATAATTGATAATTGATAATTGATAACCTAATTGATAATTGATAACAATAATGATCATTGATCATTGATTGCTCACTTTTGCATTCTCATTGTAAACTTGTTTCTGTTTGTAATACTAATTAATTACTATTCTTTTTAGAGACATGTCAACAGTCTATCTAGAGATAAAGCGCCTTACTTTAAAGTTCTCTCAAGAATTACCTAAAGAGGATCTTACTAAATAACCGCCTATATCAGTGGGGATGTCAATCGAGCAAATCAGGTAGAGCAAGCCCTAGCTGTCTTTGATACTGATGAAGACAAATGCAATTACTTGAGAACTTATTTGGACTTTTTGAAGCCTGGTATGTTCCCACAGTAATTTAATCAAAGTATAAAATAAAACTTTTTGTTGGCTGTTGCTTCGTTTTTGTCTGCATTATTTTATATATATATAGATATCTCCAACAAGCGAAGAAGAATTGGTGATAGCAATGAAGAACTGGGGGCTTGGAACGCTTTGAAGAGTGGAACAAAAGAAAACCAGTTTCTTCGGTTGTCTAAAGAGGCCTCCTATATTTTAGGTGATGATGATAAAGGTTCCAATCCACCTGCTCTGTTCATCCGTGATTGCTATATTCACCTTTCAGAGATTATTCTTGAGGATGACAATATCCGCCGTTTGCGTATTACTGGCAATCCGGGAATTGGAAAGACCTTCTTTGGTTATTACCTACTTCATCTGCTTGCAATGCGAAATAAGACAGTTATATATCACAAATGTAACAAAACACCAATTCTTTTCAGTGAAGAAGCTGTTTATCATATTTACCAAGATAATATTTATGAATTCAATGATTTTCTGATGAAAAGAGATGTATGGTATATTGTGGATGGCCGAGAACCATCAGATATTCATGCAAAGACAATTCTTATCTGTTCACCCCAGAAGCATTACTATCACAAATTCGACAAGCTTGGTACAATTATTCGGTATATGCCAGTGTGGTCATATGTAGAAATCAAGAAATGCAAAGATAAACTTTTTCCTGATCTTAATCAAGAATTGGTTCAAAGCTTATACAATAAATGGGGCGGGATTCCTCGTTATACATTGTATTATGCGCTTAATGATAGTCAACAAGATCTTCTCCAAATGGCAATTAGCACTGTTAATCAAAGAATATTGAACTTTGTTGGTGAAACCACAGATGATGATGATACCAGACACAGAATTGTACATATCTCTACAAATGTACCACAAGCAGGGGAATGTGAGGAAGGTGTAGTAGAAGTGGAAGTAGAAGAAGAAATAGGTAATATACATGAATCTTCTATATCAAAAACTTCCATGGTAACTAAACTAGATAAAGGTAAAGGTAGTGCAGTAATTAAACCGGAAATGGGAAAAGATAGACCTTTTTATACAATGTCAATCCTAGAGTTTGCATCTGATTATGTTTCCGAGAAGGTAGTAGGTAGACTCACAACTCATTATAGAAATCAGTTGCTGAATTTTGTAGAAAGTAGTTCGTTAATAAATGAATACAGTACACTCCGCGGTGCAATATTTGAGCAGATCGCTCATCAGAAATTGCTAAGTGGAAAATCTTTTAGGACTCGTCCTTTATTTGAACAAACTTCTTCCTTTGGGAATGGTAATTCCAGATTTAGATTGCCTGCAAGAGACAAATTATTATTCAACAACATTAAAGAGATTGCACCTAACAAGTACTGTATACCAACTCAAAAAAATTTTGCATCAGTTGATGCAATTATTCACCCCAACATATTTTTTTCAAATGACGATTGCCAAGAATCATCCTATCAACATAAATCGCTTGCGAAAACTTATTAACGAAAATGAAAATTTGGATATTAAGTTTTATTTTGTTGTACCGAAGGAACTGTACAATGATTATCAAGAGCAGGATCTTCGTACTCAGCGCAAGACAGTTGTCCAATGTAGACCACTTTGGACTAATCACCTTAAACAATATGTTTTGGAGCTTGATTTAAAATTATAAAATTTTTTATTATTACATGAGATCATGAAATGGTATTTTGCGATATAATTAAAAATAACAAAGATGCATTTATATATTAATTTGCACACATCGGGCTTCTAAATTTATTGCAAACTTAGGCTTGTTGGTGTATGAAATTCGACTGCGTCAATAAATTTTTATAAAAATCTGCATATAATATCCAAATTTGGTTAGCGCATGCACATCCGCACCCTGAATTTCATGACCAAGATTTGAAGATTTTTGAATATTCCAAGCCTCAATTGAAGAATAAACACAATCAACAGCCCCATACAAAGAACATAAATAAAAAACTAGGTGCTTCAGAAAGGAATCTGTAAAAGAAAAAGAAGTTCAAAATAATCAAGATTATCATGAACATCATCATCACAATCACCATCAACTGTCTCGCAACTTGATGGATTTGCATCAAATGTAGCAACCATCACACCCTTGCTCTCCCAATCTTCATATTCTCATCGACTTGAATGTCCAAAATTCATTCATTTATCCTGCCGGTTATGTTAATTGGCACAGCTAGTACAGGGGTTAATTTGCACATAAAAGGACATGCTCATAAAGGTGGTGACAAGATGAGGGAGCAGAATAGAAGATATTAATGAACACTGGTCCTCGTATACTTGTTTCCAACAGACTAGGCTTGTGCGATCCTATAGAATTATCAATGGCAAGATCACTAGTATCAAAATCCATGATGCTGTTGAGTGTATCAACCCATAGTGTATTTCATTCAAGCGTATCCTCCTCATTCAGCAACTGCTATTGCTGTTGCTGGTGCATCAAGATTGCTCTCAACTTCTCATTCCGCTTTACTACTCTTCTCAAAAATCTATTATACAAATCATCAACACCAGTCAATATATATCGTAAAACATTTATTTAACGCACCCTCACGGTTGAAAAGATCCAAGGGGAGCGAATGAAACCCGCCGCTACAAA